CCCTTGCTTTGTAGATTATGCTGGCACTCATAACCTCCTCAAGTGCAAGTGGTTGAAGAGTCTTGGAATGTGAACCATAGCATCGAAATTTTTGCGAGAATGGCTGAAAGGTTCTTAGGTGAAGGATTGCACGTATCTTGACATGAGCTGAGATAGTTGTTGTCAGTGGTCATCTGCCACGGAGTAAATTAAAGCTGTCGAGCAACTTCTTGGATAGGGCAGAGCTATCGTCCCCTTGTCTATTAGGGTTGGCTGTATCTGTCGGTACAAAAATTATGTTGTCACAGCCAGCAACAAAAAAAAGCTCTTGCAATTTTTCCATCATCGCTGCTTGTTCTCTATCAATCTACACAACAAAAAACATCATCATTTTGTAAATGAGGGAAGTATGTTACTGTCAGCACGAACGGAATTTGAATTTAACTAGGGGGCATGGAGCAGACATAAAGGGACTTCCCTCTAACTGTACAGTGCTGCTCAATGGATCGGATCAGATAAGAAGACGTCTGGTCAGTCATGGAAACACCTCCAGTCTTCCGTAATGTGATAGAGCAGCGCCTGCGATGGTATGGGTACGTGCTGATTGTTTGAATCACGCCCTCCATAGATTTCCATAGGAGAAGTAACGAGACGTGATCAGGAAAGGTCACGGGAATTTTCCAAGTTCACAACAACAAAGGGTTCTTCGGCTAGATGAAAATTTCACTCTTGCAGGGATATGAATTATATACCTTTGCTGGTACAACATATCTGAGCTGGGAGGTTTCAATGGAAGGAACAACGGTGACCGCAACGGGAAATGAGATTGCAAAGGAGGACGGCTACGACAACATGATAGAATTTTTTAGTACAAGCAAGTGCAATCAATTCAGATTCCCATTATGTATATATAGGAAAACGAGGCAGAAGTTGTCACATCCAAAATGTTGTTCACCCTTCTAGTTCTGGCTTTCTTGTTGGCTGATGTCGACGCTGCATGTAAGTTGTGTCAGCTGTTTTGAAGCTGTAGTGTAACCCATCTTCTGAAAGTTGTTTCGGCGAGAATCTTTTATACCGTATTCCAGTCGATTGGAGAGGCAATTTGAAAAAATACGCAGTTGGATTCGCTAAAAACGCCAGCAGAATCTACGAAGAGAACACGGTCAGTTCTCTGTTGGTGGCCTTTGCTGGGCAACGTGGATTTCAGGATAACAACTGATATACAGGGAAGATCATTGAAGGACGACTTAGCGGAAAAAGCAAAGGAAGTGATCAAATCCCCAAATAGTGTAAAGGAAGAGGCGATTACCAGTGTCAAACAGTTTGTATCACATCTATTTAGACTTTTTCATTATCATACTTTAGAGATATCTCTTCTATTCAGATCGCTCTCGAGAGCAGGACCAAATTCGATGAGTAAGAAAGTGTTTTCATTGTTCGATCAAATCCCCAAATAGTGTAAAGGAAGAGGCGATTACCAGTGTCAAACAGTTTGTATCACATCTATTTAGACTTTTTCATTATCATACTTTAGAGATATCTCTTCTATTCAGATCGCTCTCGAGAGCAGGACCAAATTCGATGAGTAAGAAAGTGTTTTCATTGTTCGGATAAAATCGAATAAAGGAGATGAAGCAATTAGTAACAAGTTATAATACTCACAAAGTAATTTTGCATCTTGTACATCCCTTAAGTCCCCGATATGAGTGAGACTGCCATCCGAAAAGTTCACGATAGTTCGTAATCAGTATTTGTGACTTACTTACTTGAAGGATACTCCCTTTGTTTGCCCGTCGACCTTCCACCACAGGAGAAACAAGCTTTTCTTCCTTTTTGAACTGCTGCAATTTATTGAAAGCCTCTTTTCACCAAATACAAGTTGCGCGCTTGCAGGTTCCACCACAATACGTCCCGGTTACTGTGTTCGATCTCTCTCTAAGTGACTTTTGACTGACTGACTGACTGACTTTGACTGATCCTGACTTTTGCACAAGCGATGGCCACCTACAACCCAATGGAGTAGGGGGTTACATCTTTTGCCTGGCAGAACTGTGGTCATTAAACCTCCGGAGCAAACCCAGTTGCTCCACTTTTCACTGCTGCAACTAAGCCCGGAACCCTCTTTGGTTGAGAAAATGATGAGCCCCATCCATTCGATCAGGTTTTCATAAAAAATTCAGACAAGGTGATGTCTGGAGTTGGTTTGATGCTTCGAATGATTACCGTCTGAATCAAAGTACTCATCCCTCAGTCGTATGCCACGATCGTGCCATGCTACCATAGAGTTGCCTCACAATCAGAACCAATTGGGGTGTGCTCACATGAATTTAGGAACTGATGTAGCCTCTTGGGGGAAATAGAAAATCTGGTCGCTTACTGTTCATGGATTTTCAAGCCCTCAATGGGGACATTGACTAATGGAAGTATACTGCAAAAGAATGTGACAGTGAGAATAAGTGCCCAATGTTCTACAAGGGAACTTTTTCTGGGTCTGGGATATATGCTAGTCTGAAGGAACAGAGTCTAATGAGTATTTGATTTGTCAGCAAAATTTCACTGGCTCCAACAACAGAAAATTATGTATACGAAGGAAACCCCGCCCGCATCAGGAAGGATACCAGAAGGGACAATCCACTATCCCTATTTCGGTATTTCTACTGTCAGTGTCCGCCCTAGAACTAGCATGAGAAGCAGAGCAGAACTGTGGTCTTCGAATTCAGTAAGTTGGCATGTCCTTCCATCGGTGAAAAATTGGATGAGAGCCAACTTAGAAAGTTCCAACCAGGACACGGCCTTTTTCTGCTCCCGTCAAAACAATGACACAACTTTTTGTCCGGTACCTATCGGAGCTACAAGGGACCATTTGGATTTGTAGAAAATCAAAAAGATTGTATTGCTGCATAAGAGAGGAGGAGTAGACGATTTCGGCAACAATAAGCACTGTACCCTACTTGCTTTCTGCTCAACAAATTCACATTACTTATTGTCAGTAGTTTCGGCAGCGCATCGAATAGTAGCCCATAAAACTTCATTTGCCTTCCTTATCCTTCTATACAACCACTATGACCTCTTCATAATATTCTTCTTTTTACTTCATCTGCAATCACCGTCGTCCTTACTCAACATTGGGACAGCCCTGAGCTGAAGCGTCTTACCCATTCCTTCCGTAACAAGCGCCCAAAGGTGATACGTTTATGTCTGTTGTCTTTTGTTGTCTCAACCAGCTCGATCCAAGGTTTCTGCTAAGATCGGAACAGAAGAGCAAGATAAATACTATGCCATTTGAGCAGCAGGAGCGATTCCTGCCCTGCCACTAGTCTAACTGATTTATTGTGCAATTCAGTGGATGTACACCATGCAGTTTACTGATATATAGGGGCAGGCGACATGACGGGACATTAGTCGAGGTGTTATCACTGCATTCGTAAATGACCGGAGAACAATTATGTTTCACCGTGAAATATCACTCTCTCCAAACCAGAACCCTTTCGGTAGACCTTAGACAGCATAGAGGGGAAAAAGGATGATTTCCTGGGTAAGGTTGAATAGAGGTTGCTTGTACTTGGTTCAGCTCCTTTCTGTGAGTGTTCAGTAGATCTAAGACCATGGAGAATACTCAATCCCACAACGATTCGTCGTCTGTCGTCGAGAGGTGTCTCAGCTTTGGAGATAATCCTTTGATCCTTATTTGGTCCTTTATACAAGGGTAAAGGATAGAATGCTGTATCGGTTGACCAATCCCATCTGACGGATGCGCCTACGCATCCGACTCGCGTTCACAATCATAGGGGCGTATTGAAAGCGTATGTGGCCTATACACATACATGACTTGCGGTGGCCGATCAATGTACAAGCCAGTGCTTTTGTACTCTCAGACGAGTCTGGCACCAATTCTGCGACCTCGGAGGAATGGAAGGCTTGGTTGGTTTGGGCGGATATCGATACGGGAGTAGCGACATAAACTAGGGAAAAAGCCAGAATAGAAAGTTCGATTTCATGTTTATATATAATGGTAGCGATGATTGAATGTACGCCTGTAAGCACCCATCCGAGTGGGATGGTGGTGGCGAGCACCCGACGGCCAGTGGCCGAGCCGGCTGGTCCCTTCGGCACGCCTGCGGCGTACCTCGAGACCCCCGTATTTTGGATCAAGGAGAAGCAAGCTTTGTTCTGTTGTCAGGGATGGGGTAACTTCTTCTCAAAAATTGTCTCCCTCCGAAAGGGAAGATTTGAGCCACCAGAGGAAGGATGCGGTGGTCGCTAAGGGATCACTGCCGCATGCCGAGGGAATACCGGGAGTACCGGGGGTGGAGGGGAGGTACCGCCCGCGCTGTCGGCATTGAAATCGTTGCCATTATTACAAATTTTTATTCGAGGTCCGATTTCTGTTTTCCCCACAACTGTTTGTGTCGAAATGGGCATTAGTCCCTAAGCGTTGTATTCCTTGTTCGAGGTAATCTTCTGAATGGGTAGTGGGAGCATGGGGTGACCGAGAGTTAAAGATATCTCACGTCAAACTATGCATTGCACTCATAATCTTCGATTGAATAGTCACTCGATGCGAACTTCGGGACCATTCCATAGACTGTACTTTTAGCGGAATGTGTATTGCTACATTCCTACAGACGGGCGTTTAAACGGATTTTTCGACCATGCATATTTGATTTACGTCTGAGAACGTCTAGCGAAAAGCCACCTCGCTCTCAAACAAATTGAAATTCCCTCGAATCGCACAGCGGAACGCCAGAATTCCATAACTGTCATGCGAATCCATCTTTTTCCTCTCTTATACTCCCGCACAGAGACAAACTGCAAATTTCTATTCAGACGCAACCGCTCTCAGACCCAGAATCTACTGTCACCCACTTCCTCTTTAGCCTTAGTTTTGTGTTCTGATGGGAAATTCAATTGCATTCAACGGTAACTGCTCAGGAGGAGATATTCCACTCCTTTTTGCTGTGTCAGTACACTTTTAGTGATCTGATTGATTTATTGATCAATTTAGTGAAGATGTAACAAAATTACTGATAGATGTAGAGGCAAGCGACGGACAGAACGCTGTTGTCCTCTCCTTTTGTGATGTTACCATTGCATCCGTAGAGAATGGGTGGCTTGACGTGTTTCTCCTTAAAACACCATCTTCTCACAGTTATACTAACATAGGGTATAGGAATGTGAGGAAAACTTCCCCACAAACCGTCTACAATCGGTACGGGAAGGAGGTGTTCTTCTGGGTAGAGTCTAGCGAAGGGAGGATGCCATCGAATGGGTAACAAGCAGAATTTGTAGACTCTATGGGGCATTTCATTGGCACCCCTGTTAGGGATGCTAGGAATGTGGGAGATCAGACATCGAGATGGTAGAGAGCGAGAAGCCGCTCCTAGTTGTTCCAGCCTACCTGTCCGTATTTTTCCAATAGATCCGAGACCAATGCGAAAACTTTTTTCTTCAACTGTTTGGGTTCTGCCTCCGGGAAAGACCTGGACATAGAATATAAATCCGAAGTGCTAGATAGGTGTTTTAATCATATAGATACAAACTTTTGGCCATTGATAACCGCGCCACCCTTCACTTTCTCCGGAGATTGAAGCCATTTCAGTGCCCTTGCGGATAGATCATCCCTCCATGCTGTCTTCTGTATGTCAGAAAGTATCCTTGAAATCATGCTCCTCAGCAAAGCCCATTGAAAAAAACCAACCATTCTGTCCCTGTAGTAACTGGTTTTATCCTTAGCCGTGTAGCGTATGTTGGCCTTCTTAAATGCTTCCAGTGCGCCTTTGGGCAGAGGTTTGGAGACTGGAACATAGCATAGGAGTCCTTTTCGGAAGTGACTTACTGTTAAAGGGTTATGTAGCCCAAAAACAGTAGATATCGCTCACCTTCACTGGCCACGTTAGCTAGGAAGAAAGCGAGAAGTGGAAGAATGAGTAACATCTCGAATGTGATGCTTCCTTTCCCCTCCGACCCTATTTATACATGATGGTGATGTAGGTTGACTTCGTCTGCTTGTACCAAAAAATTTCCATTATGTTGTCGTAGCTGTCCTCCGATTATTTTGCGATCGTATTTGCTGTCAGCGTTGCATTTTTCCTGAACATTTTATCCCTTTGCTAGTTACATTGGCTGGTAAGAAAGCAAGGATTGGGAGGATGAGCAACATCCCGAACTTGACGACCTTCTGCCTCCCGTTTCTATTTATATCCAACAAATGCCGTGTACTTCTTGAACCTTACACTTTTCCTGCTGAATTTGAGAAAGTTGATCGGAGAAATGGAACTAGCATCAGCTACAGAAAAGGAGCAATTTGTTCTGCTCGCTCGGACTTACTCCTATAGTCAGGTCCCCTATTCAGTCTATTGGGCAGAGTCTAGTAGTTGAAGTTCTGAGTAAACAGTGATCATCAGAAGCGCCGAGGGATCGCAAGATGATTATTAACATCGGCATTAAGTCGAATTCCCATTTCTTGCTCCCATTTTAATCCTTTTTTTTT